TGTTTATTTCTGACTGCCAAACGTCTTGTTTTTGTTGCATGAAGGGAAAGCTTGACTTAAATATGAGTTTTTCTTTCTGCAAAATAATCTTTAAGTCTATGAAGTCACTTTCTTTATATTCTTACATGTTGAAATTAATTTCTCTACTACAGTTAAATGTAGAGACTACTTCTAAGAGCTGAATCACTAAGTCATAATACCATGTAAGTATAGTCTGAAAACACAGACTAAGCAAATGAGCCCATGTTTATATAACAGAATAGAATTTCAGTTAAATAGTTTGTAGTTACTTTCCATTATTAGGGATGAAAACCTCCTTGGACCCTTCTGTTGACTTTACTGTTGGGGCTGTTTGTGTTTCATCCAAAGGGATGTCGTTTTAGTGTCTTTGGCATGAAAGGAAGAGCAATGAGAGTGAAGATCAATGGAGGTGCTACTAGCATTGGGATTTCTTTTCCCTTATAGTAATTAAGTTAGTATCTTATACTCAGTTTGATATGTGTTTTTCTTAAAAGGAAATGTGTTCACAAGTCAGACTATAAAGGATTGATTTAGATGTTTATAACTAGGTCGTTTCTTTGAGATAAAGCATGTGGATTGGAGTTGGAAAGCAACACAGAAGCTTGAAACTACAAATTTTTTTTAGATTCTAGACAATAATTTGAAAAGCAATTAACAAATCTTTCAGCTAGAATTTTCTGATTTTGTTGATAGTGTTAGAAATTTAGGAAAAGAATTTAAATATAATATCTTGTAGGGATGCAAATGTACAAGCACAATATATAGGAGGTTGCCGTGTCTTTGTGTAGATCTGATTTATTGATGAGTAATGTCCATACAGTAAAATTCATTCCTTTTGTCATACAGGGCTGTGAGTTTTGGCAAATACTTAGTCACATAACCATCACAAAAATTATAGATGAATCTACCTCCCCATAGAATTCTGTTGTTCCGTCTTACAGTCATATTCTATCCCCACCTCCTGTCTCTGGCACCTAGTGATCTGCTTTCTGTCTCACTTTTTTCCTATTTGAGAATGTCATATAAATTGAATTACATAGTATTGTAACCGGGTTTTTTCTTGGGTGCTAATGAGGCACAGCACCCCCAAGAGAATGCTGTGGGTTCTTGGCCTCCAGTCCCGTAAAGAATAAGCAATGGGACCACTGCAGGTACGCTATATGCTCGTAAAAGTAAATATTGGACCCAAGAAGTGTTGCAGAAAGGTGATTTTCTTTAGGTAGAGAAAAGAGAAGAAGAGAAAGACTTACATGTAGAGTATGGAAGGGGATTCCAGAGGGGAAATCCCAGAGGGAGCTCCCACCATGTGGAGGGGATTCCAGAGAGCTAGAAATCCGGCATGGGTGAAGGAGCAGGGGAATTTATCCTGGGAGAAATTCCCACCTTCCCAAGTGCCCCTGGCCTATGAAAGGAGTTCCTTAGAACTTCCGCTGGAGTGACTGACTTTTAGTCTGCGAAATTCAAACATAAAACGTTAAAACTCCCGGAGGGAGAGAGATGGGAGGGGGGGCATGGTGCTGGGAAATTCTTGCCCTTAAAACCATGCCCCCTCATGGACCCATAAAGGGAACACATTCCCTCAGTATGTAACAGCCTTTTGAATCTGGCTTTTTTCACTTACCATAATGTTCTTGAGATTAATCAATATTTATTGCCTATATTAGTAGTTCATTCATTTTTATTGCTGAGTAATATTTTTATTCTTTTTAAATGTTGAGTTATATTCCATTATAGTGATGTCCCATGTAGTGTTGCTGTCACCGAAGACTCAACACTGGATAGTTTATAGAGAAAGAATGTATTTGGCTCATGATTCTAGTGGCTGAAAGGTCCAAGATTGAACAGCTGCATCTGATGAGGGCCTCAGGCTGCTTCAGTTCATGGTGGGAAGTGGAAGGAGAGGAAGAATGTATAAAGAGATCACATGGAAAGAGAGGAAGCCAGACTCTTTTAAACAAGCTCTTTTGGTAACTATTCCATTCCCATGACAAGGAGAACTCAGTCATCTCTGAAGGAGGAGCATTAATTTTTTTCATGAGGGATCTAGCTTCGTAACCCAAATACCTCCCACTAGGTCCCACCTCCCAACACTGCCATGTTGGGGATCAAGTTTTAACATCCAACATGAATTTTGGTTGGGACAAACCACATCCAAATCACTGCAAGATATATCACTGTTCCTCCCCCCCGCAACATCCATTCACCAATTGAAGAATGTGGGGTTATTTCCATTTCTGGGCAGTTATGGACAAAGTCACTATTAACCTTTGTTCCATAAACTTTTGTATGACCATAGTTTTTGTTTCTTTTGGGCAAATACCTAGGAGTGGGATTCCTGTGTCATATGTTAACTACATATTTAACTTTATAAGAAGCAACTCAGTTGTTTTTCTAGAGTAACTGTAGCATTTTGAAATTCCTACCAGAAATTCTTGAGATTTCTACATGTTTTTCTCCTATCTACCATTTGCTATTGTCAGTTCTTTTTATTTTAGTCATTGTAATAGATATGTAATATTATCTCATTGAGGTTTCAATTTGCATTTCTGTAATGAATGATGTCGACCTTTTTTATGTGTTTATTTGCCATTCATATGTCATCTTTGGTGAAGTGTTTATTCATCATATGATATGATATAATAAAAAACAAAAGCATAGTGCTTTAAATCAACAAATTAATTATTTGCTCTTGATTTTTCCAATTTGGGTTAACTTCAGCTAGGCTTTTTTTTTCTAATTATAAATATGGTCACTTGTGGCTGAAGTCATCTGGTGGCTCGATTGTGGCTGGGCAGTCCAAGATGACCTCATTTACATATTTGGCAATTAGGTTGACAATTAACTGGCTCACTTGAATATTTCTTTTCTGGAAGGATAGCCCAGATTTCTTACATAGTAGTGTTCCAAGAGGGAAATAGCAGGAATTGGATGGCCTCTTGAGGCTCAGCATCAGAACTAACATAGTGTCAATTCTTCCACATTCTGTTCATCATTGCAAGTCAGTATATTCAAAAATGGAAGAAATAGATACCACATTTTGGTCAGTAGAACTATAGAGAATTTGTAGCCACATTTAATGTACCATTCTCACCACAGAAATAAAGTTGAATAAATTGGATTAGGTCAAGTCATGGTGATCTTATGTGGCCGGAGTTATGTATAGACCTAATTAATAGGTAATGGAGAACCATAGTTGGTTTTCAGCAGAGGAATGGCATAGTGAAAATTGTTGAAGATTTAGATTTTCAGGTGGATGTGGGCCATAATACCAGACTGGAGTT